GGCAGGAAGGAGGAAAGGGGGAGCCTTCATCAAGTCGGCGTGAATACAGCCAACTGAAGGCAGGTGGAAGCTTCCAGAAGGCAGGAATGGGGGGTGTGGTGCCTTCCTGAAGAAGGTGGGAGAACCTTCCAGAAGGGCAGCAGGGCAGGTAGGCGCTGGAGTCTCTTCCTCTACTTCCCTTTCTTCCTTCTCCTTAAATACTATAAACTGGCTTTATTCGGAGCGGGCATTTTGCTCTTAGAGGCAAAGAGCTGTGGCAGTGCCCGGGCTGCCCTCATGTGCGTTTCCCCTTCCCACACGCTGCCACAAGTCGTTCCCTTAATCCACCATCAGTGTGAAGGCTTGTTTTTATATTTATTATCCATATATTTATATGGGGACGGCCTCAGGCTGGGGCTGGTGGCCTGCGGCCCACCCTCTGGCACATAGACATTGCCACAACCATCTCTGAGGCCACCAACACATCCCAGAGAAGCTCAGCTGCTCCAGGGATGCTTCAAAGCCAAAAAATCCCATGTCCTCAGGGCCAAAGTCAGTCCCAGACCCGTCATGGATATGAAGGTGGCATCTTGCTTCAGGGCATGGAGATAAGTGCCAGAAGCTTGAATGGAGTTAGCCTGGGGCTAGGAGTTACTGAGTCAGTGCCACAGCTTGGTGGAGAAGAGCTGTCATCCTCTGAAATGGGGGCTCTTCAAGGGCTTGACAAAACTGAGCACACAAAATGGATTAGTTGCATTAGAAAATCTTGCCATTAAGATTTCATGCATCCAGTGGATGGAGCTGAGTTTTGAGCAGGCCATGCCACCAGCTTGAAGCACAAGCTYCTGCAGGATGTGTTAACCCTTAGACTTTACCGCAAAGATTTATCTGTGATGGAAGTCACAGCGCAACCGTCATGGACACAAGATTTTGGTTCTATTTCTGATTATTTGTGTCGCAAAATACTAGACATGAGCCTTAGTGAAAGTCTCATCATAGCCAAGAAAACTACAACCACTGCGTGTTGGAGATGTCCTAGAACAAATGAAATAAAGAAATACCGTGCCTGCAGTCCTAGAAGCTGCTTTTACTCATTAACATCAGCTACATTCCTTATTTCCTGTGTTATCAGTTATATGGACAAGGCACTCAGKGCATGCTTGCTATGCTGAGGTGCTGAGACTGAGGTGCTGAGAAGTAAGTATCTGTGTCCCTCACATGGCTACTTATACCATTGCATTTTTTCATCCCAAATTTCTCATTGGGGTTGGCTAGGAAGTGTGTTTGTAATGGCTAGAGAAAAACCTTCACACATCTGTCCATGTACAGGTTGTTGGAGGAAGCTGGGTGGTTCCAGGAGAAAGGAGGAGAGCATGAACTTGAAAGCCCCAAGGAAAAAATTATAAGGCAATGCCAAAAGCCCCATAGAGAAAACTACAGGGCCATGCCAAATCTGGAGTCTCTTTTTACATTTTTACCGCAGAAAAAGTGAACGCCCCAGCTCCACACTTCACCAAAAAGAGGACACTCTTTCTCCTTGCTTGTGCACAAGCCTTTCCAGTATTCTCTGTTCACAGATCTTCTCCATTTAGACGGTGCAGCTGAATATGTTTCCTGCTTTTTCTCGTCTTTCTCCACCATCCCCCGGGGCTATTTGTCAAGCTTTTCATCACTCACTGTCAAGCAGTGTGAAATGAACAGCCCTGTTCAACTGCCCGCGATTAAGAGGGTCTTATCTGTGAGAAAACAAAGTCTCTGTTTGCCAGGGAAAGACCTGAGACCTTTGGGGCTTGTGGAGCCCAGARACATGTGTTAGCGCTTTCATGGCTCACTTACCAAGGAGTCCTAAACTTTGCTCTCCTACCTACGTATTTTTTCTTGCTTATGTGTTTTTCTGAGTGGATGGATTCAGGGTTTTCCCTCTCCCTTCTCTATCTGTTTATGCTTGCCTAGCAGACATGGCCATGAATTGCAAACAGCCTCGAACCTGTAGGAACTCTGCTTTGGGTTTCAACCTAGATGCAAAAGCACCATGACTGAGGCCTCTTGCTAATATCTTCAAATCTGAACACAGATTGCCTGTCCTTTGGACCTACCATATGTTGCAATGTTGTTTTTTCCCCTACGTGTCTGCTGGGTCCAGAAGTTGGGGTATAATCTTCAATAAGGCCTAAAACATGTGAATTCAAATGCTTTAAAATTTGGTGTGGTCTGAGGCAGATGTGGCCAGACCTTGGAAGACAGGTCCTATGGCTTGTGAATGCCCCACCATAGATGTAGCAGTGATGATTTGTGTGGAAGGGGGTGAAAATTTATAAGCCAGGATGAAGCTGTGGGATGGTGGATCTTGGAGAACCTAAAGGGTGGCAGAGGCRTAAGGAGGGAGCTTGCATTAAATTAATCTGAGCACATGGAGGTGCACTTGAGGGCAAGAATTAGGAGAAGATAAAGTGGGTTTATTGCCTGGAAGGACACAGAGAGGGAGCAGAAGGGAATGCTGAACTTTTGGATGGATTTTGATCTGAGTAGGACCTTTTTTGACAGTGCTGGAGTTTGTCATCCTGATCTTCACACCACTAAAAAGGATCTCTGACGAATGTCTTATGACACAAGCCTTACACCAGCCAGATGGTCCTTAAAGAAGTTCCCCTAGCAGAGTAGCTTAGCTTAGCAGCAAGGTCTCTTAAGGCAGCTCTCAGTCAGCCTCCATTGGAGTGTTTGCTCATACCTGTTACAGCTGCACAACGCAAATGTGTATCCAAGCAAGGAATTGCCTCTAGCATAAGTGCATGAACCTGCCCTGGATCTGGTGAGATTGTGTTGTCAACCACGTCCGGATATGGCCACCAAGCACCGTAAAACACAGGAAGTGCAAAGTAACTCATAAATTGCAGGTGACCTGCATGTGATGATGGACAAGAAAACATGAACAAGGAAAGAGTAGAAAAACAGGTTGCTTAATCTGGAAGGGGCTGAGAGASAGACATCCAAACAGTTGTGAAATGTATGCCCAAAGACAGGTTTATGCTCTTATATATACCAAAAGCAGTGCCTGAAGTAATGAACTTCAATTGTGCCACTAGACATTAGTGTTTAGACACTAAACATTGGGGAAAACCTTTCTAACAATAGTGCTAGTTCAGACTCACCTCCCTGTCTTAGGAGCTGGTGGGATCTCTGCCACTGGGAATTGCTATGAGGAGCCTAAACTAATGTCTAGATTTGACATCTGACATGTGGTAGTAACCAGCCAGATGGGGCAGACAGCGTTTTGAGATCGCCTTGAGCTCAGGTTTCCATGASTTCTTCCACTTTCCATGATTGGTTTCCAGTACCATAGGGTAAATATTCATTTGTGACCCTCAGACCCTCATCAGGACAGAAAACAAATCTTGTGGTCACCTGACAGCAAAACTGCTGGGTTTGATGCAGTGTCTTAATCATCTTTATGCTTTAGACCAGCTCATCAAGACCACAAGTTGTATCCACCCCTTGCATTGGCATAATGCAGCACAGCCCCCTGGTATCTGTGCTTTGGGTAACTCAAGAGCAGGGCAATCCTGTTGCCACATGGCTTTGGAATTAAATTTTTATCTTTGGGTGACCTGGGGATGTCCTTACCCAATAACTGAGCTTTTAGTGGTGACTTCACCCCAATCCAGACCCAAACCCATCCCACATGAATTCCTGTTACTGTTTGGATGGGCAAACACATCTGTTTCAGGATGAAACACCTCAACACTGTTTAATTAGCAGAGGTCAGAATTGCCTTCTCTTTTTACTTCGTTACAAGCCACCCTCATTTACACTCCAGCTACAGCCAACCTGGGACATTTGAGAGCATAGTGAGGATGAGAAAAATTCTTTGCATCATTTATATCTCACCTTTCTGTTTTATTTTTACCTCCTGCAAACTGATCATAAGGATTTTTTTTTTCTTTTTGAAGTGTCAATTTGCAAGTGGTTTATCTAGTAATTTCTGCAAAGACACCCAGTGCTCTCAGCTGTTTGCAAGCAATTTGCATGTGTGTTTCGTCCAGGTGTATAGCACAGCAAATTGCCCGCTCTTGTTCTGAATGACTATTTCTMTCTCACATAATCTAAGGAAATTGGACTCTCAAACTGCGACTTCACAGCAGGCATTCCATGATTTGGACATGGCCACTGTAGKCTTAGGGACACTGCGGTGCTTTCTAAAGCAATAGAAAGTGGCTATCTTTGTACTYTAAAGAAAGTGCTGGATAACTGTGCTCCTTTGTATGCCAACACAAGATTTTTTTTCCCTAATTCTTTCCTTATAAACTTGTTGATGCCCTGCTGGGTGAATTGCTTTTCTCTGTGCTATTTGCCTTGCTGATAACCACATCAATTGCCTACTACCAGCAAGTTCTTTGTTTAAAATCCCAATTACAAACCGATYTCCCATGTGTGTGTCTTTATAATCACACCTTGAAAAAAACTGTGCCAATAAAGCTATTTCAGTCAGGAATATCTTTTTTTTTCTTTTTTTTTTTTTCTTTAAGCAGTCAATCTTGGTGCATCAGTTATGCCAGGATGACAGGGTTGTGTACTGGTATAGTTTTATACCCTTTCCTACATGAGCTAGTGAAACTGGTAGCAGTTTGCACACAGGTCACGGTGATACTGAATTAATTCTCACACCTCAGACTAGGCTCAGGTTCATCTGATAGATCTTTGAGAGTCTTCATGGAGTGCTTAAGTTARTGATTTCATTTCCCAGAGCTCTCTGTGCAGTCAAAAGGAGAGAGAGGCACCTTCAGAGGTGGTTTAGAGCATCTSAGTTATAACCAGAAGCACCCACTGCATAACAACAGCTGCTAAGGGAATTGCAGGGTGTTTTACCTTCAGGTTACTCAGAATTCAGTGGGTAAAATTAGGTAAGTGTCCTCAGCATCCTTTGGGAAAAAGTTCCTCGCTCTCCATTATGAAAAGCTTAATCACAAGGAAAGGAGAGTTACAGTCTCCTCCTAAAACTTGCAATCTTCTTTTTCAGGAGGAAAATGAGATAAACCCTCTCAGATGGATGCCGGTGCCACCAGCCTCAAGAGGATCAAGTTTGGGAAGCTGAAGGTGGTACGTCGGCGCTTGCTGCAGAGATATGAGCACCAGCCCTTCATCTCCTGCCTGGCTGGCTTCTACAGCTGCCGGTGGAAGCGGTACCAGCGCAGAAGGACCGAGCCCGGGAAATGCTGCTGCAAGACGGTAAATTAGCCCAAAATCAGCAAAAATGTTGAAATCTGTACTGGGGCAAGTCAGATAAGTCAAGCCAACAAATGACACTTGTTGTGAGCAGCTGAGCCTAMCTTTGTGCCACCTCTGCTTCAGAGAGTCCAGCACTAAGCTGAGTTTTTTGTGAACAGCCAACAACTAAGTAGTGTGTGCTGTTTGCTTTGCTTGATTTGGAGCAAATAAAGCTCTAACCACTTGGCTTTTCTCTCTTTCTCCAGCGGGAATGCATGTTCTTCCCATTGCTTGTTGGAGCATTCTGCTTTTCTCTGATCTTTCTGTATATGTGGGGCGAAGCAAAAAATGACTACAATAACTTTGATTGGTAAGTACCACGTTTGCCTTCCCTCCTCTGTGTGTTTTAGTGAGATTCCCCAGGCAGGTTTCCGGGATCAAATGGTTTAGAGATCACAGTGGAAGAGGGGAGCAGCTATAGCACAATGTATAGCACAACACATGCTATGTGATGTGATGCAGCAGGACACTGCAGTCACAAGCGGAATTTATGGCTTCTTAAATTCTTGGTTAGTGTCTGCAAATTGAATATTGCATGATTTCAGAGGTGCCAAGGTTCTGCCCTTTGCTTGGCTATGGTTTAGAGATATATATGTGTATTTGTATGAAAAACTGTAAAGGATGCAGAAGAAAGCTGTGAAAATTGAAATGTGCTGCCAACTTCCCAGAGACACAGCCAAAGGAGCCTCTTGTTCCCACTCCTGAACCAAATGCTGCTAACTTGCCTTCCATATTTTTGCCCATCTCTTTCAATTCTCCAGCTTCCTTGTAGCATCACTTCCATGTTTTCAGGAGGATTTTGGTGGGAAGACCCAGTTTTCCAGKGTAAATGTTTCTTTCTTGTTTCCCCAAAGCACTTCAGAGCCCYCAGGGAAGCCTGAAGACCCCATTTTGGTTGTCCCCACTCACATGCACAAAGCACATCCAACCTCACCATCTGCCTGTAAATTACAAAAGTTGATCCCTCTCCACAGCACCAGCCAGTTACTCAAGCCTTGAAGCGGCATCACCACTCTAGATCCTGGCTGATGAACACTGATTCCTCAAAGGATTAATGAGCTTGGATGCCATGCTGGCTGCGATGGGTCTGCTGATAWCTGGAGAATTTACACTGTAGCTTAGCCTTGCCCTGACAAGGCAAAAGCAGTGTAGAACCTGCTTGAGAGATCAGGAACCAAAGAACAGGATGATGAAACCTTGTCCTAACCTGTCTTTACTTGTGGACACAACAGGGAATGTTTTCTGCTAGGGATAGAGCAGTGATGTTCTGGATGCCAGTCAATTGCCATAAACTCAAAGGCTGCCCTTCCCTTGAAGCCAATGATTTAAGATCAAGCTGAACAGTCTGAAGGCCCCAATCTTCTCCACCTATAAGGAGGGCAGCAGAAGAAAGAAAATTAGGAAGATGGAATCAAAGGGACTAAATAGCTCTTTCATTATCTGTTTTTTTTCCTTCTCCCTGTGAAGAAACACAGTGGTTGGAATTGGAAGCATTGCAACAACTATTTCAGGGCAAAGAGATTTGCATGTTCCCAATGYAGGAACAATGGAGTAGCCAGCAAGGATTGATATAGAGCCTTTCCTCCTGTAATACAGACAATAACAGTTATGCAAATCAACCCCTAAAATTAGTTACCATTTAAAGAGCTCAATTATTACAGAGAGGAAAAGTATAATAAGGTAATTCATTCTCAGTGAGACGTTGGGTCCATAATCATGCAGCATCCCCCTCTCAGGTTGTGCTGTGCTTCTGCAGTGCTTCCAGCTTTCTGGCATTAACACTTCATGCTCTTTAAAAACATACCTGAAATCCTCTTCTTGTGAAGTGTCCTGCACAAGAGCTTGCCAGTGCTTGCAGCCAACAGAGGCTGTCAGCATGAGCAGCAGCATCTTACTGTTTCCTCATGCTACCTTGTCTGCAGCAAGGTGCTTTTTTATAGTTAGATTGTGACTTCTCTGGAGCAAGGCTCTACATTTGGTCATGTGTTTTACTGGCATGTGTGGAATCTTAATTTGGTGCTTGAAAGGATTCATGTTGGATTTGGGAAGTCCAGTCAAGTCTCTCAACCACTATTATATGAACCAAAGTAGGCTCTTCTTCCTTCTCTATTTTTTCTTTTTTTTTTTTTTTTGAATTATTTTCATATTACTTTTTATTATTTTCATGTTATTTTTTATTATTTGAAAGGTGCAACTATCATTTGAAGGTTCGATTATCATTTGAAAGGCTGTTGTTTGCCTCCAGACTGTGTGCTGAAGTAGCCCAAACATTATTAAAGCTACTAGCAAACCTATTAGCCAGTACAGCTATCGATAGGGGTGGGAACAGGCAGCTCCATGTTCCAAAAAGCATGTCAGCTCATCCACAGCAATCTGGCRGTTGGCTGCCAAGGCAAGGGCTGAGCTGACGTGATGCTTGTGCCTCACATGAAAAACATAACGACATGCAGAGCAATGTGATTTAGATTCAATAATCTGTGCCCATCAGCACTAGCAATGTTTTGTTGGGTCAATACAGACCTGGATGTGCTCAAAAAAAATCCATCCCAAAAAACCCGTTCAAGTCTCTTTTCCAAGCAGTTGTGCTCCAAAGGTATACTTTTGGGGCGTTTTTTCATCAAAATTAATTACCTGGATTTTATAACATTTTTTTGCTTTTTAGGTATAACTATGGAAACTTGGGCTTTTGGTTTCTCTGGTCTCTTGTTCTTCTGATTGTGGCTGCGATCCTCTTCATGTACATCACACTCTTATTGGTAAGTACCACTCCTTGTAAGCAATTCCTTATGAGCTGACAGTGGGTCTTARAAGTGAATATAGGGATGATTTAATGTGTTATACCAAAGTTCAGTCTAGTCTGATCTCCTGCTACTGACAGTGGATGTCTGGGTAAGTCAGGGAACACAACAAATATCTGAAAGTATCCACCTGGGGTCTCTGAGCTGGATGCAGATTCTGTGATTTTTTTTCCAGTGATTTCTCTTTAATAAATCTGTCTGGTCTGTCCATGAACCAAGTAAAACCATGCCAGTAGTAGGCAAACTTAGATATAGTGAAAGCTGAAGTTTCTTATTTTAACAGTAAGGAAATAAGGAACTTTCACGGAATCACAGAATGTTCAAGGTTGGAAGGCACCTCTAGAGATCATGTAGTCCAACCTTCCTGCTCAAGCAGGCACACCTAGAGCATGTGGCAGAGGGTGGCATCCAGGCGGGTTTTGAAGACCTCCAGAAAATGAGACTCCACAACCTCCCTGGGCAGCCTGTTCCTTYGAGTCTTTCATTAGAAGGGAAAGACTGTCTCTGAAGCAGCCATGACTATCTCTGCATTAAACAGAATCTCTCCAGGTTCTCTCCAGTTAGAGGCCTCAAACGTGCTCTCAAAACACTCTCCTGAAGTTTATGTCCAAGGAAGGAATGTTCATGAATTTTTTACTTTACCAGATAACATGAAGTTTTCTAATCAGCTGTGCGCTTTGATTACTGCAAACATAAATGAAAAAACATCAACAAGAACAACAAAAACATGTATTTCCTGAAATTTCTTCTCTTTCATCCTTTCTTCCATTTCCTTTCTATCATAGGCTCTGACCTCCAGATAAATACATATGCAGAACTTTCCATCCTCTGCATAAAGAGGTGTAGACTAAGAAATCACTTTAATCAAGGATGAGAATYTGTATTCAGGCTCATGCATGCTCCAGTTTTCATTTTGATATTCCAAGGACTGAGGCTGAGGTTATGGCTTTGATTCACCTCTGTGACCAAGACAACCAGTTTTTATGATAATTTCCTGCTGTTCTTGTCCATTCCCTGCTGCATCATCTTATATTCCCTGTGTAAATTGCTCATGGCAGAGAGCTTCTTTTTGCTTTTTCCAGGCACTGGAAACAAAATGGTTTTCTGGAATCTTTTGTCCCAGTGGAACAGGGGTAGTTCCACAGGGACAAAAAATAAATAGTTATTTTGTTCTAGTGCTAGAAATAAAAAATAAAGTGATGAAAAGGACAGCTGCTTGGCCGTGTTGTCAGCACTAATAGCACCATACATGTTGTGGACTAACTTAGCTCTGGGTAGGACAAATAACAATATTTTGATTGCAAGRATTTTGCTGGTGGCTCTTTGACTTGAGGTCCTGTTAGTTACTTGGCAAAGTCTGCCTGGCTTTTCCAGATGCCATGGAGCAGAGCTGTCAGCTGAGAGGTTACAATGCTACTTTGGGCAACACTTGCCAAGGAGACTTGTGTGACGTGGATACCTCTGAAACTGTACTTTGACAAGTGCAAATCTGCAGCCATCACAGTGTGGACAGGAATGAGATGTACATGTTTTCCTGAGCATGAGGACTCCTGGTTCTCATTCATGCTTTCTCAGGATCCTGAGAAAGTCCTGGTCCATCTCAGACAGTCCAATGGTCTTTCTAAGGAGTTACACATTCTTAGCAACAAGACAGATTAGTCTCAGTTCAAATCTTCCTAACCAGCACTGATGTGATAGCTGGAAGCTACGGGCAGATAAGGACAAACTAAAGCCAGAAAGAAATTTGGAACAGAAAACTGCTATCCTTCATTTCAGTTCAGTGTTGGTACCTGTTTTCATAGTGTTGACATGTCTTTCGTCAGTGTCGAAGCTTCTTTTAGCTTTGTTTAAGACTCTGGTTGTGCTGGAGGTTGTACAGGCATCTTCACAGCTTGGACCCAGCATGGCAGACAGGCAGGTCTGCATTATGAATGCTTAAGCAGGCCTCAAAAGACAGAGTCATCCTATGTTTCTGTGAAGAATATTTATATTTATATTTATATTTATATTTATATTTATATTTATATTTATATTTATATTTATATTTATATTTATATTTATATTTATATTTATATTTATATTTATATTTAGTTATATAACTGCATCTGTACCATGGAGTTTGAATTAGAGAGCTGCTTTTCATAGGAAATAATATTTTAGTGTGCCAAGACTACTGAGAAAAAGCAGACACAACTCCTTTCGCTGTAACCTGTGATTAATTCCTCTCCGAAACACTAGCAGCTTCACAAGCTAATACAGGCAACTCAGCTTTTCCACTGGGCACTGACCAGCAGCTGCATCGCTTCTATACATTTCAGACAATGGATGGCCAAAGGTCTGGCCCCCATAATGAATTATAGCACGTGTTCAGGTTGCAAGAGGAGCTGGAGATCTTTACCCTAGAGATCTTTACCCTCTGGTTTCCACAGAGATGCTGAATACGGTCTCCAAGCTGCCTATTTGCTGTCTGTCAAGAGGAGAGGCAAATGCCTTGCACCAGTAGCCAGTCCCATCAGAAAACTGAGCACATTGATGCCCTTGTGGGAGCACAGAGTTTTCACAGCAACCAGTGGCTGGCCTGCTTTTGTTTGCGTGTGCCTTGCTCTATTCCTTAATGATGACGTCCAGCCGGAGCCCTGCGGGCCTCTTTCCATGTCATTATTGTGAACCAGTGAAGCAAACACTCTCCTGCCCACCGACCACTACTGGCTGAACAAAATGCTGCATAACAAAGCTCTTGCTGTCTGCGCAAAGATGCTCTCTGTCTGCATGCATCAGTGCAGTTTTTTCAGACAATTGGTTACAATTAATTCAATTGCCGTTGCTCCCCAAGACAATTTTCCCATCCCCATTACAGCTAAAATGTTAAACCGAGGGGCCTAATTGCAGGGCAGTTCAGGCTTAGTGGAGAAGAAAAAAGGTTTCCTTATTCAGAATTTCAAAAGCCAGAAGATAATATTTTCCTCTGTGCAGTTCAACTGTGTTTCAGTTTAACCATGTTTTCAACCCAAGGGTTTTGGGGACCCGACTTGTGATTGTTTAAAGAGTTTCAGATGCTTAATGACCTTTACTGAGAGAACACTCAGAGTAGTACATTGGCACTGACGGCCAAAGATTGATCTCAAAACATCATGTGGCAGCAAGCTCAGAGCCTGCCTAGACTTTACCAGCGGTATTGAATTCGACAAATTGCCATTTCCATGCTGAAGGAGACCGAGGAAAGAGTCTGTTATCTATCCTTCTGTAGCATAACCTTGTGATCCGTGCACCCACTCAGAAATAGGGAGGCAGAGGTGCAGTCCCCTCTCCAGTGAATCTTCACCACCAGGAAATGTCTGTTATTGACTGTCTAGGAGGTAGACAGCAAAGGGTAATAAGTAGACTTATTGCTACTGAGGAAGAGAAGACTGCGAGTGTTGGAGGCTGTAAGATTCAGGGGGACTTAGGGCTGGCAAGAGAGACCCTGTCTTTATTCTCAGCAGGATTAGTCTGAAGTTTTGTATCTCTCACCAAATTCCACGTGTCTGTTTGCTTGTGTCAAGACAATCCCTGGATATATGTGCAGGTGAGGTCTTGAGCCATTTTGGGGGGAGTGGGAAGAAGCTATGTGACCATGGCTTGAGATGTTCTAAGTTTCAGAGATGTGTGGAAAACACATAAAATTCAAGCTGACTGTGCCAGAACCCACACAGGACATGCCTTGTCCTCATTGCACCAGCTCACTGGTCCATCAAGATGTGTTCCCCTGCAGGRACCAACAGTGCAACTGGAAGAGATCCTTCTTCACCTTCTGAGGATAAAACCCGTTGCTCATTCTCCTTGTACACAGATAATGAGCAGTTGTTTTCAGCCATAGRAATGAGCTTTCCTTCAAACAACATTCCCAGATGTGCTACATGGTTCACATGGAAGCTATCCCACAAGTCAGAGATAGTGGGGGAAAGTCTGGATGAGCACAACCTGCAAAATAACTATTGGGATGTACTTAGGCAAGGCCCAGGTGTTTTAATACTGCTTACAGAAAAGTGGAGATTTTGAAGTTCTTTCTTTCTAGCTTGTTTTAATGGGGCTGGATTAAGATCTTCAGCAGTAATTCAACTCTCTGTGAACTACTCCCATGGTTAGTCATTATATACTGAGTGTAGGATTTAATTAAAGGAGGCTAAAATGTCAAGAAGCACTTTAAAAGCTTATCTGTATTCTCTGCTGAGCCTATCTCTCTTCAAATCAGCACCATTCTGGAAAAAGAGTGCTTGTTGCTGCATCAGAAACAACTTACATTCCTTTGCAGTTAGATTTCAGGAGAGCAGAGCCCCTTCCCATTATATTATTGTTCTAAAACYGAATGTCCTACTTTCATGTAAACCCACTGTGTGACAGTCTGGAGAGACTTGGATCATAAATTGGCCTTGTCAGTGGAGCACTGATGTCTGTAAAGAGATGCTTTTCACTATACCTTGTGAAAGTCATCACCAGATTCATTGATTGCTTAGGTCTGTGACAATTTAGAGAGTCTCCTGCAGAGCCCTAGGTGGATTTTCCTTGTGCTTTACTTGTGGGAGAGTCACTCAGGTGTTTGAGGCCTCTTTCTTGTCCCCTGCCATGGGATGGGGGTTTGTGCTCTGCCTCACAGGATCAGAGAAAGGAACAGGCTTGCCACAGGGCCACAGATGAGGGCCAAAAATAAATCCAACGAAGCTAGGATTTTGAATTTTCTATTTTTTTTCTGTGTTCTGTGATATGCCTGTCTCTTGCATTGCTTGCAGTTACTCTGGAAGCATCATTTCTCTTGCTCTCTGCTCTATATCTTTAATTTTGTGAGCTCTCTCCCATGACTGATACTGCTCTAGCCACAACACATGAATGGAAAATAGWCAAAGTTAGTGCTGTATGGGTTTACATCATGGCAGTTGGCCCTGGCCATCTCTCTCTTTCATAGTTTGTCTTCTCAGAGAAAGAAGAGCCATCAGAGGTGACAGAGATGCCCAATTACCTGTTAGTTGTGGGAGGCTGTGGTCCTGCAGAGTGATATTGATACATGCTTCCCCATTTCAGGAATGTATTTTCAACAACAAAATATCCTCCAGTTCTCTTCATAAGTGAATGAGTGGTTTTACTTACAGCACTTTCATTAGTGGAAAGGCCTGGAGTAACATGATTTTCCAATGCAAAAATGATTCCAAACATGCTCTCCCAAGTACATTTCAGCATTCTATACCAAGAAACACACCATGTCTTCTTATTTTCCTAGGTCCTAGCAATGTGTCTGCTTGCAGAAGGTCAGCAGCTGTACTTGCACTGGAGTCACAAGGTAGGGAGAGTCAGAACTTTGTGGTAACACTAATCTGTATTTAAACCGATTGAATCTGTGATATGTCTCTACATGAAGCAGCCGCCTAGGTTATAGGAGAGAAGAAAGAGAGTGAAAGGGTTACTCTTAGGAGACTTTAGATAGCATGAGAATAATGTCTCCACCTGCATTAATCACCCCCAGCCTCCCTCTGCAGTTGTTAGAGGGAAACAACCTCTGCGGATGCTTCATCCAGCTGCTTGTAGACATCTAAATTAAGAGGAGATGAATCACATCTGAAGTACCTCTCCTTCCCACTGACTCCAAAAGGAGCTTGTGATGACTCATTCAGATGAAGATGTCCCTATTTGACATGCCTAGATATGGTACCTTTTAGGTAACCTGTGCTAACCTATAGGTAACATATTGCAAAAGCAAAGTTTCCTTAGGAAGCACAGTCCTGCTCTGTAGCAGCCTCCAGCAGCTGTAAACAAAGTGGCTGATATCTCTGCAGAACAAAAATCTGGCTTTTCCAAAGCATCCTGGTGTCATCTGCCTTTTGGATGATGTAGGAAATGTCACCTGGGCTCTTAAAGGTGAGAAGCAAATGTAGAGAAGCAAATCCTTTCTTGAGAAGCAAATCCTCAGGGAGCTGTTGCTACAAAGTAGTGTCTTCAAATCACCTTCTGTAAGAAATTCATGGGAGTTGGGTGGCGTATTTAAAATGAAATGTTCAGCTATTCAGAATAGCTGAATGTGCAGATATTTGATCATCTGTTTCTTCAATTAAATAATGACAGCAGTCATTTTTACTCTTGCACATTGGCTCCTGGAAGAGMCAGAAAGGTGAGATTTTTGTAGAGCTATATATGGAAAAAAAAATGGGACTGCATCCTTAGGTGGAAGAGATTAGAGGCTCATTATTAAAGTGATCTGTATGATCCCCCTGAAAAAGTGAGGAATTCCATTGCAAGTTGCAGTATCATTGCAATTTTTGCTTGAATTTAGTTCTTAGAAGGTAGATGGTGTGTAGTTCTTAGAAGGTAGATGGTGTGTAAACATGAGCCTGACACCATAACCTGCATTGTTCTCAAACTGGGCGAGAAGCCAGAGATGAGAGTGAGCTACCTTCTCACTTTTGCATTTAAAAAGTGAGCTCTCATCCGTGAGTTATAAGAATGTTTGCAGCTGAAGAAGTCTGTTGCATAACAAAGACTTACATGAACTTACAGCATAAGGAAGTTATGTTGTTGTCTCAGGGATTTGTCACTTGTGAATTTAGCCATCTACAAGTCAGGGATCTGATGTAAGCTGATCATCTAGGTTTCATCTACAGTAACATAAAATGAGAGAGAGAGGGAGAAAGGGAAGAGAGATGGAGAGAGAGGCATCTCTTATGAAGAAGCAAGATGGAATGAATGACCCCTGGAAATTCCTCACTTTTACCACTGACTGTGSAGGGAGCCTTGAAGGATGATTTAGCCTTGGCACCAAACTCTTAAAATCCATATTACCACAGAGAAAATCCAATCAATAGCACTGCTGGTGTTTTTATTCCCTCGTAGCTCTGTCTCTGGACTGGCATAACTCGTGCATCCCAATCCTATCTGCCAGGCAGATGTGCTGCATTCCCTGTGCAGAAATACCAAAGCTGATTTATTTCCTGTTTGCCTCCCCAGATTGGGACTTTTCTTGTCCTGGGCTTCTCTGTCTCAGCCCTCTTTGTATTATCTGTGCTGTGGGGAGATCAGTGGAAAACTGTACGTCTGTCATTCCAGGTAAGAACAACTGAAGCATCTGTTTGAAACAGAAAAAAAAAAAAAAAAAAAGATCTTACAAGTATTTTTTGAAAATAGGTAGAAAACTTTCAGTAGGATGATATTTTTCATGTGCTTTTCCTGACAGACTGTGCAGTTCTGCATAAAATTTTCTTAATGATTTTACGTTTACAAKTGAGAGAAGGAAGCCAAGACCTGAGGTTTGGTTTCAGTCTATGTGTTTGATGTAAAAGGTCTCATTTAGGGAAGTCACATCCTTTGTTTTTGGCAAAAACATCATATGTGTGCTATTTCTCCACAGGCACCCAGGATGGGTAAATCAGACCCCTGGGCTGGTAGGGTCACTGGAACAAGGACTTGTTCCCTACTTAGTTTCTGCTGGTTCAGTGGTCTTAACATTAACAAAAGTTCAGTTTCTCTTTTCTCCATCTGTGACACAGGCAGTTTTCCTTCCTGAAGACAGGATAGCATTGACCTGTTCTGGACAGCAGGTGGGGAATGTCACTGTGAGATGGGACAACCTGTGGGATGCAGGGCAGATCCCTGTGTGCGATCTGCTACAGCTTCCTCAACTTTAGGCAGATCTGAAAGTGGAGGGCAGAGCTGCCCAGTGCTGTTCAGTGCCAGAGCATCTGGGTCCCCAGTATGTACTGAGAAGGAAGTTGACAGCTGTGACCATAGAATTGCCTTGCAGATATTACTTGGCCACATCATCTCTCCCCACTTACCTTCGTATACTGCTTGTGAATATGAGGAGAGCAATGGACTGGGAGTGGAATCAATTGGCAGCCCAAGAGTCACTGCAGCATGTTTGGGATGTGCTGTTTGTAGGGTACAGCTGTTCACACACTTCTCCCTGCTCTACAAAGTTCAGCAACCTTGGGGCTCTGTTCTGGTGAAGATAAGTAGAAGACATAAGCTTCTCCTCTCCTTTAAGGACTCCAAGGGAGGAGAGAGAAAAGGTGTTCAGGCTGCCATGGTGCTGTTTAGTGCAGGTGTTTGTGTCCTTGGAGATGCTGCACCTGGCCTCCTGCTGCTGTTCCCAAAGGGCTTGAGTCTCTTGTAGATCTTGTGTCCATTAGTCCTATGCAGCTATCTCAGATATCCTGGACATCTCGAATGACACCTTTCTTTTGCATAAGTGAATCCTGTTTCTGGTTAGACGATGTTGATATCAAGTATCAGGGATAGATGGTGTCATGCACAAGATCACTCAGCAACTGCTGTAAGCCAGCTGTCTGATCATGCACTGTGCAAAGTGTTGAGGGTCCACCTTTTCTTGTTCCAGTTTGGAAGGGAAAATAACTGGGAAATGCTGGTGTATCCTGTGACATGACATTGCATTTTCTAGTCTCTTCTTGATATCAAAATCTATCARATGTCCTAGATTCCAGGCAACAGGTCAGACAAATTGATTTAGTAAAAGAGTAATAGCCAGCATCATTGTTCAATCATCTGGGTTAAAATTAAACTGAATTTTTAAAAGCAAACCTGGAAATGGTTATGCACTGACACCTTCCACAGACTGCCTTGGAGAGCAGCCATATATTATAACAAGGCCATACCTCCTGTCTCCATCAGCAGCCAGATGTTATTTTGAATATGGACTAAGCAATAGAAAAGACATCTGGATATATCTTTTCTCTAGCACATTTAATAACTCCAAGTTTTAGCTGCAACTGGATCCACAGGTCTCCGAAGAGCACACGAAAATAATGGATTGGTTTCTTTGTAAGATTTCCAAAGTTTTAAGAAGCATGTCATGCCAACATCACTTGAATGAAGAGCCAAGCTCTCAATGTCAAACTATCTGTTAAGTTTCCTGTTCTGGTTATGCATATGTGGAAAGTGCAGAAGTGGCTCTCAGTTGGTCTTGTTTAATCTTTAGGACCAAAAAAATCCAGTGCAGTTACTATATCTGCTCAGCAATAGCTTTTATATAACATATTGAAAGCACTAAGACGTATTGTTTTCTGCTAGTGAAACAGTAGAAGTATCTATGAGGCCACCAACTTGAAGTTGTAATTAAGAAAAAGAAGGAAAAAAATGCAATTAGCACTAATGCAAATGAACTAAATGTTTTCCTTTAAAAATAAGTGTTTCACTGAAGTAAATGAGAATTAATTATTTGCCTGGAATACATTGTAAATGTAAAGGCTGGGTGCTGCAGAATGCATATGAGGCTGGTRAAATATGTGATTAGACATGTGCTAGGTTAACTGGGTTTTTTATATCACATGAGTTCCATACTGGTGTAAAATACCAGATTTTATCACTCAGRTTTGTTGACATCAGTGTAAAGATCTAGTTGCAGTGTAGCACTGAAAYGACTGTTACATGGACTGGGTTAGATTGAATTGGATTGGTTTGGATTGGGCTCAGTTGTGTTGGATTAACTCGATACTTTCTGGAAGATGCTCATGTATTATTATATAGAGGTAGTGAAGAGAGAGAGTCCTGCTCTGAGACTGAGACTAACTTAGGAGAAAGGAGAACTGAATGCTAAGATGAGGGCTACTTCTTAGCCTGGGCTCAGGAGAGAGGGTGAGCTGCTGGTATCAGCAGCAGCAGCCTTTCTCTGTGGAAAGTKGTAGCTGCCTTGGGATTTGTTTCTACCTGTCTCCAGTCATTGAAATCCTTTTCTTTCCAGATCACAGCTCCCTATCTCCACATAGGGGCAATAACCATCATGGTCCTCCTGTCCTGGCCTGTGGCTCTGCATGCCATCAGAGCAGATAAGAAAGGTATAGTAGCTCTGCTCCCTCTTCCCAGTATGACAGAAGACTCATGTCAGTGTGTGAAACCAAGTATGCAGAAGCCATTTCACCTTGCATTGTATTCAAGCTGTAGGTGGCTTTTATCCTGTGGGAAATTAGCAGGGATAGAGATCGGGGCCATGCACTGTCCTGTGGCTTTCTAGACTCGTTACTGATTTGCATGCTGCTTTGCACAGTTCTGACCTATTTCAAGGCAGTAATTGGGCATGGTTTGGGGACTGTCACAAGCTCAGTTTCATACTCAATAAGGAGTTTAATCTTAGTGATCCTGCCTCGAGGACAAAAACAATGTAGCTTCATGGCTGTGAACTCTGCTCTACACATTTGATTCTTGCCTGGGGAATGGACGCTGACACTTTATATTCTATATTCCCAGCTTTAGACACGGAGAAGTGATGGTTCAGTAACCAGGCTGAAAATTCAGATTGGCAGAACTGGAGGGTTTATAGCAAATACTACCCTAGCCGTTGAAGCAAAACTGGCAGTTTCCACTTTTGATGCCCAAAGTTAGGTGTTGTGCTCACTGACTACACAAACAGCCCAACAAACAGGCTTAATCAAAGCAGGGAGACAGGAATGAGCAGAAGGCAGCTTGTCCTAGTCTATGGGAGACATACAGGCTGTTGCCTTCTGACCGTGCCCGTCTCTCTGCTGGGCTACAGAAAACCTAGGCAGTGAGCTTAGATCCAAGCTGGATATTTTGCAGCTTTCTACCCATGCATTTCCTGGATTGTGTGGTTGAAGTGAATGTGATGGTTAGGGGAAGGAGGGATGGGTTAGCGGGGGATGAAGGTTAATAGCTGTTTAATTGGAGGGCTGTGTTAAAAGTCAGGCTGCAAGGCAAACCCATTTATTGCCACGTGGATTAACTCTAGCCTTCCTCCTTCAAATTCTTGCAGTTGTTCAGGTGATAATTGTTGGTCCATACCTGGCTATCCTTCTCTTTCTTTTCTTGATACCTCTGGGGATGTACTCACCTTGCATCAGAGAGGTGGGGACACTTGGACCAAAGCCAGCCCTCATTGGGCACCGTGGAGCACCAATGGTAAGTTCAGAGAAGACAGTTTACATCATTCCTTCATCCTTTGTATTTTTACCTTCGTTGCTATGTTTTCTTTTTTTTTGTCCCCAAGAGCTGTGGAAGAACAGTCTGCGTGGGTGGAGGGGATGCATTTTATTTTGGATTTGGATGCCAAAGGCATCGCTGCATGGGTTTACTAGCAAAGATGACACTGCTCTGTARGCACAAGATAGGTGTAGCACCTAGTATGGAATAAAACAAAGACTTTCCAGTGCAGAACAAAGTACCCTTTAACTAGATATTTCCCTTAATGGAAACCAGCAGTGATAAAAAGAGAAAGTATTTACAGATTTCTTCAGTATGTGTGAAAACAATGTTCTTATGGGCTGCTTTCTTCCCAGCTGGCACCAGAAAACACTGAGATGTCATTTCAGAAGACCATTGAACATGGTGGAGATGGTCTTGAAACAGATGTAACCATTAGGTAAGAAGAAAATCTTGTGTCTCAAGGAATATAAACTGYTGCTTCTAAGACTTCCTTTTGGAATTGTTAAATTTTGGACAATTAGGTTTTACTAAGGTTTGGGACTTGGATCCCTCTGTTAGTGTCTAGTGATACAGGCTGTTCTGATTGTTCTCAGGAAGTTAGTAAGTTTGAAGCTATTGATTTAACAATCATTATTTCTTTAGTGCATTTTAAACACTTTGCAGAGAACCAACCCCCGTTGGCTTCCAGACTTCAGTGAGGATTGGATCAGACCTAATAAAATGCCAGGAAACTGTGTACAGGCCTGTGACAGCTTTGCCCTAATTATTAGACATTTAATTGCCCCTGTGAATGGGACCTTTTGCTATGAACTATTAACATGATGGATAGGGCAAACAGTTTTTTAATTGGCACTTCAGTAGCAGTGTGATAGTGTGAAATTATGACTTGAGTGAGGGAATTACTTATGTTTAGGTTCTCTATTGACAATTAATATCCATCTTTTTGTGATATGGCAGGTATAAATGCTTCCATCTGCACTTTGTCCATGTGAAAACTGAGGCCTAGAGAGGCTTGTCTTCTCCAAAGTCACTCAGTAGTATAGCTATATATAGCTATATATAGCTAGTATATAACTCAGTCAGTTTAGCTGACTGAGCTATATAGCTTATGAGCTATAGCTATAACTTAGTGTTTTGAGTCTCAGCCACTTTCCCTAATGCACCCTTTGCTAGATTGTTCTGACCTGGCTCATGCCATGAATGGAGCCATGTCCCAGATAACCTAGCTTCTTGCTCTCCCACAGCTATGATGGGATTCCTTTCCTCATGCATGACAGCACCTTGAAGAGGACAACCAACATTGAGGAGGTCTACCCCAATGAGACTACTCAAAACGCAGCATTTTTCTCCTGGGATGCCCTGAAGGAGCTAAACGCTGGAACATGGTTTCTTAAGGTGAGTGCCATCAAGGACTATCAACTGGCTATTAAAGAGATACCACCTGGCTACTGATTATTAGAATTAAGGCAGAAGTTACCAGTTGGGTCAAAACTCAGGTAAATGGAACTCTTTCAGCTGAGGTCTCTTTTCTTTGTTCARTAGGCTTTAGGTCTAGGAGATCTGTCATATTTGACTGTGGGATGTCCTTGTGGCTCCTTATCATAGAAGCAGAAGAACTKGTGGGCTGGAGAAAGAAGGCAACAACTATTTGTGCAAGTTGCTGTGTATAATTGCCACAGCCAAGACGGTGGGAGAATGAGGCTATGAGAATAGAGGTAGCTGTGACACAGTTTAGATCCCAGAGCCTGGGTTAATTTCCTCTGTTTCTCAGGTAGAAGGGCAAGACAAAATATTTCTGACCCACTGGGGCTTGATGCCAAATTTCTTCTTACAGATGTGAGTTTTATGCCTGTAGCTAGCTATCCTAGATGTTACTGACTGATTGATTTCCTTTTGCATTTATTTATTTATTTCTAGGACAAACCATTTTCATGCATGGGCGCACTGTCAAGGGAAGATCAAAACCAGGCAATGAATCAGTCAATTTACAAGCTAAGTAATTTCTTGCGCCTCGCAGACAGTCAGAATAAACTTGTGATATTTGATCTCTACCGCCCTCCAGAGAAACATCCTTACAGGAATTCCTGGATCAACAGAACCCTGGAAGTCATCCTCAATGAATCAGGGATTAAACCTCATCTGGTAGGATAGTCTCACTCCTGCATGCCCTTTTCCTTTTCAGAAATGAGACTTTAATGTCATACCCAGCATGACTTCACCAGCACAGAATACAGCCCACTACAGTTCACTTCTTCATCRGGAAGGCTTATCTATGAGCACAATCCATTATAAAGATGGTTTCTTTAGAGGGCCAAATTCAAATATCCTTCTTCTTCTTGTGTGGTTCCTCTTTCAACAGCCTCTTTTAAAAAGCATCGTTTGGAATCTACCGCTAGCATCAGTTCCTTACTATGTACAAAACACACAACACACAAAGAAATTGGACAAAGGATGCTAGCTGATACATTAGCCCCCAAACTGCATCCTTTCCTCACTGTAATATATAGTAGCCTATATTCTGTCATCCATCCATATTTATGTATTACAGTGGAAACCCCTGTCTTAAATTAGAATAACTGGAACTGGATCCTCCCAAAATCTTCCTCCTTCCCCATGCAACTCTCTGCTTGCAGTAGATATTAAATTTATGCATATGAGTGCATATATCCGCTGATATCAGGGCAATTACATGGATCTGTTTCCACTAAGAATCGCTTCTCGCATCCTGGGAAAAAGGGTCTTTATTTTCTGTTGCCTTTCCCATTAACCAAAGATGCTTTTTCTCACAGAAATCCAGCAATCCAGCATTTTTTTTTTGTGCGTGTGATTGTGTAAAACATTACTCATTGATTTCAAGCTGATAAGGAAAAATGAATGCTTACTTCTGTATGACAGTGACTTGCAAGTTATAACCCTGRGTTCAAATACGTTTTGATCATTGTACAACATATGACATTTGACAGACCTGTACTAAGCCTTACAAGACCTTAAACTTGTTGGGGTTGTAAAGGGCAGGATGTATTAGTAACTCAATATATTGTGAATTCACTGGATGTTCTTGTTGCCTGCAGGTCCTATGGCTAGAGAATGACATGAGGTCCTTTGTTCAGTCCGTTGCTCCTGGGTTTCAGCAGACAATGGGCAGTAAGGCCCCAGTTGAAGACCTACTGATGGGCAATATTGTCAAACTCAATTTGGCCTATACTGAAATGTCCAGTGAAGATATTCAGTAAGTAGCAATTTCAGCCTCTAGCAGAGTCAATGGACTGGAGTATCAGGAGTGCACTTGCCTTGTGTGTGTGGCAATGTCTCCCTCCAGTGCCTGGCTCCAGGATCTATTATCATTTTGAGAAGAACTATTCCTATAGCTTTTTGGCGGTGAAGGACTAGTTCACTCCTTTTATTGGCCAAGAGGTGACAGATGTTATTGCTACTCTTCCCCTGTGCCCCCTCTTTCTCCTTTCCACCATCAAGGGGCATTATATTAAATACTCTGACAGGATCTAAGGAWCTTCAGGGTAAAGGAATACCAGGATAAAGTGTCCCAATTCCTTGTATTTCACTGAGGCCAAGGATGGACAAATCATCCCCAATACCAGCAAGTACTTAACTGTGGAGAATGAAGAACTCTTGAGCCTGCGGTGTTTCCTTCACAAACATCAGTGTGAATGCTTAATGCTTTGGTGTGAGACCATCACCCTTTTGTAGCTCGTGTTTTGGAATTGTTGTCTCTGTTGCTATTATTGCTCTGTTGCTTGTGATACACTGAAAATGTCAACTCTCCAGTGGTCTGATTCATGGTTATTAGAGTAATTTTCAAAATGATTCTAATTCTTGGAAAAAAACCCTATCTTGACTGWTTAGCTCTCCTTTGTAAATTGAGTTTTTGCTCTTTTCCATTTGCAAGAGCCTTTAAATATAATAAAAAACAGAGGAATGCAAAAATTTATAACGTTGGATGAGGTGATGTTTTCTTAATGATAATCTTCCAGATTCTGCATAGATCCAGGATAGATGCTAGGTAGTTTTACAGAAGTTGATACTGATGACATTTCTTCGGCAATTGCAGAGAAGGGTCTCACTTCATATTAAGGTTCAACAGCTTATAAGGGTTTGACAAATGATCAAACAATGTTGCAAATGTAATATGGTTGAGTGGCCAGCTGTGAGGTGAGTTTAAAGATGCTGTTATGAAATTCAGCACAAAGGAAGTACGTTGCTTCTTTATTTTCCTAACTTCTTGCTCTTTTAAAGGAAATATGCTGAGGCAAATATCACCACCAACCTCTATGTGGTYAATGAACCATGGCTCTTCTCCTTGGCCTGGTGCTCTGGGGCTCACTCTGTGACCACCAATACTGTCCACATGCTGAAGAACCTCAGACAGCCACTCTTCCTTATGGTAAGCAAAAATTCTCCCTTATTGCCAGGAGTATGAAGTAGGGATGGTATGTTCAWAGTTATATTTGGAGAACAGATCAGTTCATGCATGGGTAAAGGAGGTGTCCCTCTGGACGGAGAAGAATATAAGCYGAACTCTAGCTTACTGGCTTCTGTGAGCAACTCCTAGCTTTACCACCATATCTCTTTTTTTTATTATTTTTTTCATAGAATCACAGAATCACAGAATGTTCAAGGTTGGAAGGGACCTCTACAGATCATCTAGTCCAACCTTCCTGCTCAAGCAGGCACACCTASAGCATGTGGCACAGGGTGGCATCCAGGCAGATTTTGAAGACCTCCAGAGAAGGAAACTCCACAACCTCTCTGGGCAGCCTGTTCCACTGCTCTGTCACCCTCACAGTAAAGAAGTTCCTCCTCACCTGGAGATGGAACTTCCTGTGCTCCAGCTTATGCCCATTACCCCTCRTCCTATCACTGGCCACCAATGAAAACAGCTTGTCCCCTTCCTCCCTTTTCTCTTGGCCTAGGGAGAAACATTCTGTTTGATAAGACTTAAGAGACTTATACCTTGAGATGAAGACAAAAAAAGTCATATTGAGGCTTTTATGGAGAGAATAAAGGAGACTCTGTGGCTATATGTGGCTTTCATGTGRGGATTTTTATTTCTAAACTTTTGAGGCTTGTTTATCTCAGAAGTTCTTCACTTCCTGGGTCCTCCTGTACCTCTTCTCAAGCCCAAGGGAAACAAAAACAGAGATAATAATGTCTTGGTGAAATATTTTTTTCACATTTGTCTGTTTCCTACTCATCTTTGAACAACCTAAAGGACTAATGGGCATCTGGGACATTGGTCCAACTAGAGTCCTTGCAAGTGTAATTTGTAACACTATGTAACTGGCTTCATGAAGAGGATTTTACAATGCTTCCTTTTTTTTCCATCTGAGAGAATGAAAAACAACAGTTTTTAAGTCCATTCTGAGAATGGATAGAGGTCCAGTCCGAGGGTGAATCTTAAGATGCTACTAGGTTTAAATCAGGAGCTACCCCAGCCTTCTGTGGTGTTCARTGAGGTACAGTCTTGCAAGGGGAAGGCAGGTGCCACTAGTTGTGGCATCAACACATGCAGGCAGGTTACCACTTAACTACTAMATGCTGTTTAAAGACTGAGGGATGTTCACAGAATCACRGAATGGTTGAGGTTGGAAGGGACCTCTAGAGATCATCTAGTCCAACCCCCCTGCTCCAGCAGGGACACCCAGAGCACGAGGCACAGGGTGGCATCCAGGCGACCCCTGGGGGACACCACTGGCCAGTACTGGGACCTGCACTGGTAAACACCAGGCAGCTGGATTTCCATAGTCAAGCAGCAAGGGGGAACTTTAGCACCTTTTTTTTTTTTTTTTTTTTTTTTTGAGTTTCAGACTCTGTGGTAGATCCATGGCATTGAATACATCCTCTCTTCTCTTCCAGACTCCACAGCAGTACAAAATCATGTGGATCTTGACAGATGTGACCTCCATCTTCCTCATCTCACTCATCTTTGCTCTGCATTGGTAAGTACTGAGTTGCTAATGGCTGTTCTAGTCTGTTGTCTTGCTACAACCAGAGGGGTGGAGGAATGCTTTCTGGTGATTTGGATGGCTAAAAGTGCTGTGAAGGACATCTCCTTTCCCTTCAGGAGTTAGAAGAAAGCCCTTTAAGACTCCAAAGATCCCTCCACTTCTGCTGTTCTTATTTTTCCATTTCTTTTGGCAAGTTGGCCATCATCCATTCCAAGATTCAGTGGAAATCTGGTGGGTTCAGGGTAGCAGTCAAACCCAGTTATTGAAGCTGATGGATTGAAGGRAGAGCTGATTCTTCTATTTTCACATTATAGACCCTGTTGCATGGGATTTACTTAGAAGGAAAGCTCTCATTGTTAATAATTGAGCATGTCTCTGTGTCTTCCTATGTCAGAGCCACTCAAAAAATCCATCCTCAGATGCAAATCAAATTATGAGCATCTCACAAACTGCARTTTATTTTTACTCTCATTAATTCAAGGACATTGCCTCCATTTTATATGTTGGAAAACCAGTTCACAAAACAGACTCTGTGTCAATACAGAGCTGGACAAGACAGACTGCTTTGCCTTGGTGTGTAAAAAGACATCAGATCTGTTTTTGCTCTGAGAGGATGAACAGGTTACAATTTAACCAGGTGATGAACTAGTGGCTGTACAGGCAAATTTAAGGGGCGCTTAGGCTTTTCCCTCCTCAAGTGGGAGATTTTCCAGATTTCCCAGAACTCTGTAGACATTTCTCATCCAGCCATATCCCTTTTTCTTGTCTGGACATGAGACAAGGACACTCCTAGCATGTATAAGGAGTGAGATGCCATCAGCAGTGCCTGAAGTCTGTGAGTGGTCTTGTTTATCAGATTTAAAAATATCAGATTTACCAAAAATTACAACTCTAAAGTTTTCCTAGCCGCTTAGGAACCTGTTGCTGTGAACAAGTCTAGGGTTTCTGAACACTTAAATCTCTCATAGAAAACAGGGATTAGTCACAAAGTTGCCTTCAAAATACTGCCATACATGTGCGGGGTGGACATGCAGGTATTATGGAGCAGGGTTCCTTCGTAGAAGGGATTTGAACAAATTCCAAAATTATGAGGGCAGTTCCTGCTCTGATAAAAGTTGAAGACGAGTGACCAAAGTTCCAAGGAGCTGCAAGGGGAACCCACATCAAGCAGTGGCCTAACCCAGATGTTTTGCCCTGCACAGGTGGCGGGAGCGGAGTTTTTCCTGCTGTGCCCATGATGGTGGCACAATGATGGAGGGTGGCACCTACAACAAGTTCAGGACAGGTGAGTTGGGCAAGGAGAGTTGAGAGCCTCTGTGGGGCTAATGCTGAGACTGCAGGACCCCACGGCCTGAGCTGTGAGCGTTTTTGGCCTGACTCTGCTCACAACTCCTGGCAGAACAGCTGCAAGCATTTCTGTAGCTCACTCTGTGTCTCCTTTTCCAGAACTCGGCAACATGCCTGCAGTTGTGGCCTGACAGAGACAAGAAGGAGACAGACTTGCTAACTCACCAGTGACTGGAGAGCGGAGCCTCCCCTGATACCTCCTCCTACCACCAGCTACCACACAAGGGTGGGAGTCACAGGACAGCAAAATGCAGGCAAAGGCATCAAGAAGGAGAAGCCCTGGCCAGGGGAGATAGATAGTTCAAAAATGCATGCCTTTTTTGGTCCTGTCTTGCTTGCCTACAGCTTTTCTTATAATCTCATGCCTGGCGGGGATGGACCAGGTTACAGGGGAGCACAGATGGGGTTGTAGCTGTGACAAAGTTGGGCACCACRACTAGGTGCTAAATCCCTTTGGCAGCAGCCACATGGGAACCACATGTCCCTCCCTCATACTGTTGGTGTCCACAGGGMAACAATCCTGATACCCTCCTGTTACGGATCCTCTGTTAGTGCATCTGTTTGGTACAAGCTGCCACCATCTGAGCATCCTCCAGCCCTGCTTGTCCTTGGCTGCTGGTGTTTCTCCAATCAGACTGACTTCCTCTGCTCCACACACTCCCTCATTACTGGCAGATCTTCTCTAGCCTCAAGTGTGCACCATCCATGCAGGAGAATCCTACTGCTASGTCTGCTGGGACAGACCCTTTCCCTTCTTGGTTGTGAACAAGGCCATTTTTGCCCAAAGGTGCTAACAGATGTTTTGGTGCCTTGGCGACATAACCACTTGGACTACAACTAGCAGCACAACATCTTTCTTTAGGACGTTTGTGCCACAGGTGACCTGGTACCACCAAGTGTCCTTCCCTCGGGAAGATCTTTATACTTGCTCTGCATCCAGGTGTTTGTTTCACTACTGCCAATGGCTGTTGGCACATTGTTCCCGCAGAGGTCAGTACTGGTCCCGATGCTGTTCARCTTGTTCATCAATGGCTTGGATGAGGGCACAGAGGGCTCCCTGAGAAAGTTTGCAGATGATCCCGACCTGGGTGGAGTGGCCGACACTCCRGAGGGCTGTGCTGCCATTCAGAGGGACCTGGACAGRCTGGAGAGTTGGGCAGAGAGGAACCTTCTGAGGTTCAACAAGGACAAGTGCAGGATCCTGGGAATAACCCCAGGCACCAGCACAGATGAGGGATTGACTTGCTGGAAAGCAGCTCCACGGAGAGGGACCTGGGAGTCCTGGTTGACACCAAGTTAACCATGAGTCAGCAGTGCCCTTGTGGCCAAGAAGATCCTGGCCTGCATCAGGAGGACGTTGCCAGCAGGTCAAGGTAGGCGATCCTGCCCCACTGCTCAGCTCTGGTGAGGCTGCACCTGGAGTATTGGGTGCGGTACTGGGCTCCCCAGGACAAGAGGGATGTGGAGCTTCTAAAGAGGCTCTAGCAGAAGGCARCAAAGATGATGAAGGGACTGGAGCATCTCTCGTATGAGAAAAGACTGAGTGAGCTGGGCCTGTTTAGCCTGGGGAAGAGAAGACTGAGAAGGGATCTGATGTATAAACACCTGAGGGAAGAATGTAGGGAGGAAGGGGCCGATCTCTTCTCAGTGGCCACTGATAGGATAAGGGGCAATGGGTACAAGTTGAAACCCAAGCAGCTCCATCTCCACATGAGGAAGAACTTCTTTCCTGTGAGGGTGACAGAGCCCTGGAACAGGCTGCCCAGGGAGGCTGTGGAGTCTCCTTCTCTTGAGATCTTTGAAACCTGCCTGGATGCCACCCTGTGCCCTGTGCTCTGGGTGTCCCTGCTAGAGCAGGGGGGTTGGACTAGATGATCTCTAGGGGTCCCTCCAAACCTCAGCCATTCTGTGATTCTGTGACATGAAGGTGGTGGTCTACGCACAACTCTGCCCTATTCTGCAAAGGAGATGTGAGCATCTCAGGTTTAAGCCATAACATTCTACTTGAACAGATAGGATGACATTTTTTGTAACCTGCAAGACTATTTTTAATACATTTTAGCTCTCCTACCTTGTTTTGCTCTTATTCCATTATACTGGGAAAGGGGAAGAAAATAGTAGCCTTTATTTGAATCAGGCCATAGCTGTTTGTTCATATAATGAAAGGAAGCTAATGTGGGCTGAGCTGTGGAGTGCGCAGCATCCACCACCCAGGAGAAGGACCTGCATGAGACAGGTCCTGCTGTGACCATTGCTTTTAACACTATGAGGAAAGGTCCCACCACACACCTTCGTCCACATGTCTGCTTCGCCATGATGTCTCTCACCATGCTCACCTCCTTCATCTTCAGCTGGGTAAGTCTTTTCATCCAGTACTTCCTACCTCCAGTGGCTGAGCTCCAGTCGGTCATCACAGAGTAACCAGCCCTTGCCTCACAGCATGAACAATGGTGACTCGCCCATCTCCAATGTTTTTTACCCCAAAATTTAACCCATCATTTCTAGTCCAAATGCTCGGATAGTTTGCTACTGTTACCAGGAGTTTCACTCTGTAAGGAGAAATCGTCTCTCCATGGAGGACCTCGGAAGTTACCTAACACCACTGAGCACTGCAGAACAGTCTTCCACAAGCCATTTTATGCTTTTTTAATTAGGGTATTTCACTTGGACATATGCTTTCATGTTACATCGTTTGGTATGAATATAAACAGGCCAGCAGACGCTAATACACGGACGATATGACACACAGGCACACGCACACAGAGCCCCAGAACCCCMTGAAGCCCCAAGCTGTTTGGAGTGTGTTGGGGTGCACGAGGGGCCAAGAGCTGTGAGTGGAGGGAGGAAGGTGGTGGGGAAAACTGGCCYAAGAGAGCACTTGGAAACGCTGCTATGCTGCATCATCTACTGAGTATGCTGTGGCGGGCAGGAATGGTGGGAGAAATGGAGGCTCTGGTGGGTGATGTGAGTGCRTGGAGCAGCGGGGAGGTCCCTGGGACAGCTGGACCAGTGCAGCCAGGGAGGGGACGGGAGCATCTGAGATGTGTGTTGGGGAGGCAGCTCATCGCTCCCGTGGGAGTTACACTTGGCCAGTGTGACCACTTGGCTTCACAGCAGCTTGGGCAGAGGGAAGGTGGGAAAGGGGACCTCCTAGGAGCCATGCTGGCCTGCGGATGTCTCCATGTGGTATCTCATCTCCTTTGGTGGCATGGCCAAGGTGCAGGGTTGCTGCTGTGAATCCTCTGGCAGGCAGACGCTAATGCTACCTGGCACGCTGCTGCATTTGGGAACCAAGCCCCTCTCCTGGCTCCCAGTCAATGGCAAGGCCACATAAACAGCCTGTATCTGGCTGAGCAAACCAGGAGGGCAACAGGAAACATCTCAGTGACAGGGTGAGGATCACTGGATTTCAACACGGCAGCATACCTAGCAACACTGACATTATTAAAGTAGCTRAGTTCAAGCCAATGCATGGGACCAAGAGAGCTCTCCCACACCTCCTGAGAGCTGCTCAGCATGAGTGAAACCAGCACCAAACCTTGGTGGTCCCTTCTCCCCTCTGTGGAAGCCACGTTCCCAGGCATGTGCTCCTTTGGAGCTCCCAGGTTTCAGAGAGGGACCCTGCACTCTTCCCCCTGCTTCCCCCCAGTCACAGCATGGCTTCAGCTTCTTCTCTGCTCATGGGACTCATCTCTGCTCAGATGGTGGCTCGTCTGCACTGCGTGGTGATGGGTAGAGGACTGGGCCAGCAACATCAGCCAGCAGATCAGCAYAGCCCACCAAAGATGGAGAAAAGCCCACAGAAATCAAGGGCCTGACTTCACTGTCAGTGGTTTAGGCTCCAGCTTGGACCAGGAAAGAGCTGTCTCAAAGAGCAACACACACAAAAGCACAATAAATTCATTAGCTGTTTCCAACTCCAAAGACCAAGTTCCTGTTCAGAACACTTGACACACAACATGAACTTGGCCAGTCTTCCAAGCACGGGGACTTCCAAAACTCCTACATCCATATTGAAGCTTGTGGTACAGATCATCCCAGGGCTAATTGGTGTAGAAAGATGGGGCAAAAGGAGAGAATTCATCTTTCCTGCTTCACTTCCAGCTGAGCCCTTGGGTTGGGAAAGATGTGCCTTGCATACATTCAGCCTCTGGCAGTCATGGCTCTGCAGGAGTCCTTGGGCGAGAGAGAGTCCGCAGGTCGCCCTCAGCCCCCAGTCATTATCCAGATACCGGCACAAAATGCAGGATTTTTTTTTTTGCTTGTTTTTAATATTTTAAAAAATAAATAGAGGAAGAAAAGAAAGTTTTAAAAATTTGTTCTTTAAGTATCTCCAGCACTGCACAGACAGCACTTTAGTATTCTAGTCTGTTCGATCAGTGGTTTGTTTATTCTGATTCCTAGTTTAAATGCACTCCTCTCAGCCAGCTTTTTCATTTTGTTCTTCTTTAAGAACACAGTGTATTCTTCTGTAAGGTCTAATATGAGACCTGCAGTGTTCACTGGATCTCTTTCCAGCATAGTTTGGGGCTCTGTTACTTCTCTTCAAACCTGAAATGCCAATAACCTCTCCAAAAGGCTCTCGCACCCTGATAGCTCTCTCTTTACTTAAAAAACAAAACAAAACAAAAGGTCACACACACGTCACACACATGCACGCACCCCCCTCTTCTTCCCAGAGCCTTTGCAATGCCAACCATTTGGTTCCAGGCAAGCATCCTGCCAGGGTCTCTTTGCTCAGTCTCTGTCTGAGAGCGATGGTGTTACCTGGAAATCTTTGAGGTTTAAGACAGAGATGAGGTACAGGGTGGTGAGAGAGGATGAGAGGTCAGAGATGGTCATCTTCACTGGAAGGGGAGGTGGTACTTGAGCCCTCAAGGTCAGAGTCCAGTGAACTCCCGGATGGTGTTCGGCTCATCTTCCACATCTGAGAGGAAAACGTTCTTCCCCAGCTGCATGGGTAGCCCACAACCCTCAGCTGGTGAATAAGCCCCATGGCCACATGCCAGCGGCTTCTTGCAGTTCACTTGCTACCCTTTGCGCTCCTCTGTTTGCTCATGGCTGTTAACATCTGGCTGATGTACGAGGTCAAAAGATCATCCATCTTGTAGCCCTGGAGAGGAAGGAGATGTTTGTTACCTGCCCTTATAGCACAACTTAGGGTCTCTAGCTTATGCCTCTTGAAGGACCAGACTGCCCCTTGTTGACATTCAAAATTTTGACCCTTTTCCACCATACTCCTTGGGTGACATAAACCCTCGACCAGGCTCAAGGGCTTAATACAATTTCCTAATGCGGTATGAAATGGAGGAATTCATTGTCCCAAGATGCTGTTCAAGCCAAGGACATAGAGGGCTTTAGAAAGGATCTGCATTTCTAAATGGCCAACAGTATCCTGTACGTCCCAAATTAGGAATAATTAAACCATCAGGAAAATTTGTTTTACATGTTTTGGACTTAAGGCTGTCTAAACAAGAGAGGTAAGGGTGGGATGGAAGACAGGGTGCTAAGGATATGAGGATATGAGGAAAGGATATGACAGTGGCTGACAGAGCTTCATCTGCTGTAGGACACAGGCTGATGACCCAGGTGGACTTCGCTCCATTGACTGATGCTAAGGTCAAGCTGGGCAGAGGAGCTTGGTAAAAGGATTCAAGAGCTCTCCTGACCCCATCTCTGCTTTAATATACTTTCTACTCCAGAAGAGCGAGCAGTGCCCCTTAC